AACTAATACTGCTTGAGCGCCTTCGTCATGCATGGTCTTTTAGCTTTACAGCAATTCTGCTCATGGAAGCTTGTAGATTTTGTAAACTATTGAAAATTCGTAGAAGTGTGGAAGGGATTAAATGTGCTAGGTTTCATCTTATTTTTTGGATTCAATCCTTTCTGGAAAGTTAGCAGTGATTCCATGCTCTCAACTTTGAATCCAGTGTTTGCATGGTTGATATTGCAAACCCGTTGTTTTAGATGTGGGACTTGACGACCGCGCTAGATCAGTACATGGCATCTCGTCAGAATCCATTGACTACTGCACCCTCAGCGAGTGGTATGGATACGTTAAAGCCAGCATCAGGCGGAGTTAGATTACCGCCTACGCTACTCCAGGTTTGTTCTTTCGAGATATCCTTTATTTTGCTTCTAAAAAAATTTGGATGTTATTCTAGGGTTTAAATGGGCCATCACCTCAAGAACTTCTACAGCTAATCGATGAATGCGAGATTTGCTGTAACAGTATGAGTCCGACGCCTGCATCAACTCCGCATTCATCTGTAGCACATTTGCCGGGGCTTTAGATTTAAAATGGTCATTGCTTTGGGGCTTCACATCTTACCAACGATATAGGACTTCTGCGCTACCGTATAGTTTCATGATAAGTAAATACCGATGAATACAGTCAACATATGCAAATTTTAGTCCCTGGACCGGTACACACGCAGCTGAAAGTACTCTGAATATATTCTAAGCGTCATGAGATACATTCCATTTGAAGAAGCATCTGTGATAATATACACTCGATATTTTGCTAGAAATATGTCTAATTGACATACATTAAAGAACTTGGCACCAGTACTTACCCTTTGATAAATAAAGAGTAGAGTCAATCTGGCTTATCAGATCATCTTTTTACCAGCAGTTAGATAGTCTCACAAGGGAACCGCTACCCGCTTCCCCCAACCATTCACTATGAAATGTGTATGAAAAGCTCCTTCCGGAACGCTCATTGGATGTCCACATTCGATGTCCGCAAATCGTTCCTCACAGACGAGTTATAGGGTCTTTTACCTCAAAGCGTGAAATTGCGCTGATTAAGGAGTCGTTTGGATTGCAACCGGTGATCAGTGGTGTAGTGGTAAGTGTGGTAATCTTCCAGGCAAAAACGTCCCAGGTTCGGTACCATGTGGGGCTTTTTTTTGTTTTTCTCTAACTAGCTGTTTTCATGTTCAAAGCATCATAAAAGATAATATGACG